GGTTTATACACACGTGCGTCGAGTTGTCAAACGGACTCCCGAAAACAGAGAAGTTACGATGGCAGGCAGAACTTTTTTCATAATTAGATCACATGAATACAAATTTTGATTCATAAAAATTGAACGACTGTCAGTTTAGAAATCCCCGGCCAGTTCGGGTTTTGTTACACATTTTACAGGTACTCTCCCGATGTGTAGTTTGTCTACACACGTGCGGGAATCTGCTCAGGGATTGAAAATTCCGTCATTTAATATACTAAACACACAGAATGATTATTTTTTCTCTTAGATGAAACTATATGATAATTAACGAACAATTAACATGATTTTACTACAGTTGTTGATATTAGTATAATCGGTTCATCAGTGAAAAAATATCAACCGAAGAATGACCTATATACATTGTATTCTCTGTTATCAAACATGTTTAAATAGAAAAAAAAAGCTGAGGAGGGAGCGAGCGTAGGAATATTAACATTTTTTATTTGCATTTAGGGGGGAAAGTGATCTTTGGAAGAAAAATTAACATTAATTTTGGTTTCTTTTACGTATGGCATACACAACATTATTCTTATCATGAACAATTATGTTGTATCTACTTATTAATGATGGAACTATTTTCGTCGGAACAATTTGTGTGAGTCGCCGCTGACTACAGTAATATATCTTGCACTAATAGTATGCACTGATCGAATATATTAAAAACATTTCTGTAACCACACGTACGCGTGTTGCTGTTAGATACACTAAATATGCTAGTCGGTGTTCTGACATTTCTGTTTTGGCCTCCGATGCTTTTTCTTTAACATGCCTTTGCAAAGTTCGTATGATTTGTCGGTGCGAATCTATAGCAAGCATCTTAAGACTCACACGAATCTGTATGCACAAGCATTCTCTGCTTTCATGTTCCTTATAGAACTGTTTGTGTTTCGCCTCTCAATGCTGCTGCCAGGTAAAAGATCTTTTGTCTATCATTCCATTTAGTCATGCAACTGCATGCCTAAAAATTAGCTTTATTATCAATCCTGACCTAGTACCATCAGATGTCACATGTTTCATCACCCTTTATCAAACATGTTATTGGTAAGGCAATTACTATTACCACTTCTTTTATTTAAGGAATAAATTTAATAGCTACCCATTTTATATGGTATAAACTGGGTTGGGGCAGTTTACGCTTTATAAACGGCGAAGCGGTTTATAAAAAAGCGTAAACTGTTCCAACCCAGTTTATACCGTATAAAATGGGTAGCTATTAAATTCATTGCTTATAATTTAATTTTCATTCATTTGATGTAAGAAAAAAAGACGATTGTTCCAACAAAATGACTTCAATTTGTACAACATTTGAATGTAACGTCAGGCGGATTAATACGTTTTTGACGCAAGTCATTGTGACGTAGGCAACCAATTTTATACTATATAAAATAAATTTTTATCCAATCAAAAACAGCGTTACAACCAGAATTAAATTATTCAATGGTTATCTGCACCTAAAAGCGTATCTACATGTAGTACACCAGACACAGGGTCTCTGTCCCTCGCAAGAATCTTAAGTATTCCATTGAACAGTTGGGGTTTGGGGTGTATATTCCATTTCACCCAGTGACACCCCTCCGCTTTGTTGTGGTATAAACCATAACACGAATATCATATATAGCCCTGGGTCTTATGTTATTTTTATCAAACCATAACTCTTTGCACATTATACTTGCTCTATTGGAGGGGCTTATGTCCAGTCTTTTTTGTATCGCCAGCTGAAAAAAGCGATACATATTAAATACTTTATCTAGCATTTGTCCGTCTGTCATATCTATATTTTTTAAGAACTGCAATGGGTAAAGATTTAATATTTTTACTTACATTGTTTTGCATACACGTTGGCATTTGAGATACCATAGTTACCCACTAAGGAATTGTTAACATTTGACCTACTTTTAAAAATAGTTTATTGTTTAAATATATACAACATATTTTTTTGTTTGATTGTTTTTTAGGGGGGGGGTTGCTATAATGTTGAAAAATATAGGTAGCATATGAATAATGACCAAACTTAGATTTCTTAACATAATATTATAATAAAGCAGTCTATACGTCCATTCATTGCAAAACTCTAGTCAAATTTGAGGTGTAAATCATTGTGTGTGTACACTGCTTATCCGTGCTTCAGTCGGAATCAAAGCTTAAAAATCTTTACCACCAGAAATATACCGGAATATAACTTATTTTTAATACATAAATGGACCATTGTGAATGTTTATTGTTTTCTTTCATTTTGGTAGCTGCAGATCTGTAGCTATCCGAAAAATATATATTTATAGACCGGATAGCTACAGTGCCACCCATTGAAAAAACTGTATATTTATTGCGCACAAAAAAGTGCGCTCGGTTTTCGATTTATTTCTCCATGTTCCTAAAACTGTAATCTCAAAATATTACAAACCGTGTGTTCCTAACATATTCTTTGACTCTTTCCACAACAAAACTTTCGTCATTATTGTTTTTAATAGTCCTCCTGACCCTGATATTGTAATCATCGAACATTTTGATCATTTATACTGCCATTTTGGTTTCAAATTCGGTTCAATATGCTTCGTTCAGATGTCAACTACGAATGTACTTGATAGAGGAGAGAGAAACCTTTTTAAATCTTCCCTCTTTTGCAATTGAGGTAAGAATTTGGAAGAAATAATCTAGAACCGAGCGCACTTTTTTGTGCGCAATAAATATACATTTTTTTCAATGGGTGGCACTGTAGCTATCCGGTCTATCAATATATATTTTTTCGGATAGCTACAGATCTGCAGCTATCATTTTGGTAAATATATTTTTCCATTCTCTAATATTTAAAAATCCTGCACATCGATGTAATAATTTTTTTAAACCATTTCAGATGCTGAGAGCAATTCAGTTCTGCAATTTTGTCCATTTCAAGGAAAAACATATCATTTTATTTGAGTCTGAGAGAAATAGTTTTTATCTCTTCGTGGGAGCAAGCTTTTGTGGAAAAAGCACTGTTTTGGAGCTGATCAGAAGATGCATGCCTAAAGAAATAAATACTTCTGTAACAAATTCCTTCGATAAGAATTCTACCGCATACGCTTTCTGTAGATTCAAATTAGAAAATGCTGGCATGGTGATTTCTGGTATAATCAATGAGAAAAATGAAGGACACAGACAAGTCGTTCACAAAGTACTTCTTTACAAATGTGAAGATAGAACTATTCTTCGCTCCTGCACAAGTACTTTAAAGACGATTTCTATAATTTTTTTTCCGAATTTATTTTTTTTCTTTTTTACATATTTCCTTCCTTAGAGTATGCTTTATGCAAATATAAAAAGAAAAGGTATGGTTATCAGATTAGTTTTTTTGTTGTGAAGAATTTTTAAAACTGACCGTTAATCAATTATTGAGTGAAATTCTGACCATTTTTCAATTACACACTATCTTAAAAATATACTACTTTTTATATATTTATCAGAGTTCTAACTTTTTCATTTTATCATACAAGTCAGTATACACTACAAACAAGATGTTGAATTCAGATATTGATTGAATATAAGAAAAAACACAAACAGAATATCATTTTTCAAATTATCATTTATCTAACCAAATGTACATTGTTTTCGCATAATTTATACAATTTACGCATTAAAAAGTCAATAAAAAAAGTTTGACGAATTTATTTTTTTTTAAATTCATACATATTGTACATTTAAGTATACTGATAATAATGATATAAAGAAAAATGGGGGTCATCATATTCATTTAGTAAATAAAACAACATTTGCTAGCACGATGTTAGACGTTTTTCAATGTCAGAGGTTGTAAAATATGCATCAACATAAGAAAAACATACATTTTTTCTTAGATTTTGATTTCAATTACAAAAAAACCCCAATGCAACATATTACATCTGAAATTCCTCTTTAAGGGGTCCTGACCCTCTCCTCTAAATTTCACTATGGAAATTTTAAATTTCTAATATTGATTTTCATGAACACAACAATGACTTTAAAACCAAATACAAAACCTTATACAACGTGGTATAATGCAGGTTACATACAGGGTTTTGTTTTTCTTATTTACAAATTTACATTAGATCTATGATGAATTTGTGAAAAATTTAAAAAAGAAGTTATCCTTCTTAGCAGAGGGATAATGTCCCTTAAATGCTGAAATTAAAAAACTACAGAAATATTATTTACTTTTCTAATTGGTATGGCCATATATACATTCAAATGTTTACAGCTATACAGAGCTTGTAAAACTAAGATGCAAAAAAACTATACATGTACAAATACAGCCAATTAAACGTCTAATGTCTATTGTTACATTCAGCTAAAATTTGTTTTGCCTTACTGTTTGTCTTCAAAATACTTATTTACTTTTTCAAGTAAACATTTTTTTGATGTTACTCGAGGTTTCCCATCGAATTTTTCAGACAAGAGTGTTTTTAAACCACCTCTGGTGTGAGCAAGTTTTAGATGACCTAAGTTTAATCCACTTTCAGCAATCTTTTTACACATTTGCTTTGAAAGTATCTTATCATTGCATAAAACTAACAAGGTGTTTAAGTTTTTATCTACAATTTTGTCAAAAAGGTACTTCTCAACCAAGGTATGCATACTTGAACTGTGGCGTACAAGAACTTCAGTGCACGGTTTTACATGTTGAACAAGTTTTTGAAGAACAAGAACATCATCCTCAGCATTGTGAGCTGCATAGTTTTCATTTAAAAAATATGTAACAAGAAACTCTTGTGAATATTTTTCCAGACCAGGATAAACTTCTCTAAACAGAAGTAGTGTGTCTACTACACCTAATACAACTGGTTCTAAAGCATGAAGAAAATGACAAATTTCAAAATTTCGTAAGACCCTAGGTAAATCAAACCTCAAGAAATTATGTCCTACAAAAATACAAGGCTTTTGATCATCTAACCATGCCAGAAATGATGCCAATGCAAGTTGCAATGAAACGGATGTTACAGGAGTACCATTCAAATGCAAAACATTTCCATGAACAGTCAGTCCAGTGACTTGAGAAGCTGCTGTTGAAATTCGTTGACTAGGTAAGATGTATTTCGAAAACTTGCCATTTTCTGAAACAGCCGCAATCTGAATGATATCACACGTTTTATTAAGAGATGTTGTTTCGATGTCACAATACACAAAGGTATATTTCTTTGGTAATATACATGGAGTGACAGTTGGTACAATGCTTGGAGCAGGTATTTCTTTGACAAACTCGCCGTCAGATTGTGTCAAATCAACAGATGACTGATAAGTTACTCCTTCCCGAATTTGAGAAGCGGAATTCATGGTACTGTTTTTTAATTTTCTTTCAAGTTTTCTTTTTTTGAATTCTCTTGTATTTTCATACGCGAGTCTGCGTTTGCGCGTTTTGTCTTTTTTTTCTGCAAGTTTTTGAAAAACTCGTCCAGGCGAAACACCCACCAGTTCGTTAACTTTGTTGACGTATGTTGAGCCCATGTTTTTCTCTGCTACTGCACAACTAACTCTATTTTGCAAACTAGATGATGAAGAATAGTGCAGTCTTTTGGGGGCTTTTGCAGCAATTGAATTATTGAATGATTCAACATCTCTAGTAGATGCAGCAGGGGAAATCTTGTGAGCATTATTGATAAATGTTTCAAATATAATGTTCAGGTCATTTTTTAATTCATCACCCTGTAGATCTTTTCCAGATGGAAGGGACTTGTGGCGGAACTCTTCAGGATTAGTTTTATAAGTACACCATTTTGAGTCACACTGGTCATGCTCTCCAAAAGCATGTGGCACTATTTGCTTTAGGTTTTTCTTTAATGCTTCTGTATCATTTTTATTTTGTACAATAGCGTAAGAGAAGCATTTTTGAAAATACTTGACACAATTGTTGTTGAAATTCTTGTGTTTCTTTTGTAGTTGGTATAAACTGTTACCAAGATGCTTTTTAGTGTGACTAATGTCACTCCATTTGATCACCGGATGTGGAATTTCTTCATTGATTCGTGTCATTGTTGTGCAGTCGTCATCCATAACTAACACTGATACTTCAACATTTTCTTTTTCAATTTTGTTCACTAATTCAACTGCAACGTTACTCTCCATTGCTTTTGACGAGCCCTCCCAATTTTTACAGCACTTATGTTCTGGAGGAGTTTTCCCCATATTTGTATGAAAGGAACATTTGCGACAATCCTTTGATCGAACACCAAAGCCACATATTTTCCCGGACTTGTTGCCGATTAATGTTCCCACTCCAGATTTACTGTTATAGGCCCTTCCTGACCCACGCTTCTGCCATCCCATGTCGTACTTAAACTCCCCAGAGCTGCGAGCCTGCTGACCGTCATTGGATTCATTTACACTGGAAACAAGAAAACTCATTTTAAGACTCGTAAGAAATAATGTATACCGGTATATATTTTATAGCAAAAGTATAAGAGTGAGTCATCAATTATTCATAACAGCACTTCCTTTTTTTTTATAAATTGTGCTTATCCTAGCTCACTTTAGCATGTAATCAAATCTGGCCTAAGGGTTATATATAAACCAGCCCCAATTTGGACCTATCAGTGTGAAGTTGATCTTTGACCTACAGAACTTGAAACAGTATGGAAACCTGTCATTTCAGTGTGTTATAGAGGATGGAGATGATGGACACTTTGGCATAACATGATCTTTTGGGTATATAAAAACCATATAGCATGTACCTTCTTGCTGATACATTGCCCTGTATTTCCTCCAATAAGGCCTCACTGCATGACTGCTGGGCAACAGATTGGATATGTGGCTCCACTTCACACTCACGGGCTTTCATAGTTCTATGGTGCATACCCTCTATCTCTATGGAAGACATAAAGTTGGTGACCTGTGTGTGCCCGGATCCACTATGAAGCATACCTGTATAATAATTTAAGGTCACTTTATATATATCTAATCGTATGTCAGTCTAATAACAACACATATGAAGAATGTTAAAAAATCAAAAACAACAAATTACTGGTAGAAATTATGGCTGATAATGATATAAAGGAATATTAAAGTTTTCTTATGATAGGAAAGCAATTACATATTTTCAAATCAAACAATTAAATTCAATATAGCTTTTAAATAATTGTTTCTATCAAAGCTACATTTATAAAAGTGATAAAAGAGTCATTATTCTAATCTAGTAGGCAAGCTGTTAGAAATATATCAATGAAATATAGGTTTTACATGTAGCACAGAAGGAGTGCAAAGGGTTACAAAATTGTTAGTACCAAGCACCACAAAAGGAGGGTATAAAGCGTGACATTCTTGTCTAAGTAGCTATTACCCAGTATACCGGTAATTTTACAACAGATAGATGTATGGTTAGCACTACTATAAATAGTGGTAGAACTACTACAAGCTTACGGTTTTACTTACTTCAGCTGCAATAAGGTACATACAAGAAAAAGGTAAAACAGAATAATAAATAAACAAGTAAATTCTTCTTAGCAAGATAAAGTTTGCCCATATTTTCAGTTGCTAATCATGACAGTGCCCCACCCTCTACTATAATGATCAATTGTTGCTAAATGTCTGTCAATCAACGTATTCAATTTTATCACATAAAATTTTTATTGTTATTTTTATATTTAAATATTGACTATAATGGTATATAAACTATCAATACCTAAAGCTGCCTTTGTGTTTATGTCAAACACAGCAGGTCCGCGTTTATTAACTCTGTGTGACTTGCCAGTTGTTACTTCATTCAGAACACCGCACTCACAGGTAATAGTCAGGTTTGAAGCAAACCCTTGACGCCTTTCATTTACGATGTTATTTAAAGTCAGTGTGTGCCCACAATCCCAACAGTTCATTTGTTTCGCCATATGATCCAACTCAACGATTCGCCTCCCTTTTCTCCATGATTCATCATTCGATTCACATGTGTGCCCTTCTGTTTGTGCAACATTTTGAGTCCTGAAAGTAAACAACAACCTAGTCTTAGTAATAAAATTTATAAATTTATAAATCAATATTTGTATAAATACCCAAGTTGTGTTTTGTTTACTGCTGAATATCAAAAACATAAGCTTTATATTTAGTCTGCAAGTTCGACCCAGATGCAAATTTTGAACCAGGTCTGCGAATTACTGTGATTAGTAATCTAATTCACATACTGTCAAATGTCAATAGCTACTCAATAGCCTCATTTTGTAAGACAAAAGATCAAATGCATCACTGTTGCTGATAAAAACGCTGATAAAGTAATCGATATGAAAGGACAAAAAATGTGTAATTATTATATCAATGTATACTTACACAGTAGCCTCACGTATCTTCATCATGTTTAATCTTCTATTCATTGTACCCTTTTTCACAAATCTCCCCCCAACTCGATCGCGATCAGTCATTTTCAACATGTTTCGACCGCTTGACAGACGATGTCAGATCTCTACGGCGCCATCTTTGTGTGTCCTGGTAAAATGAGGCACCTTTTTACAACCGGGCACATTTTATTTTTTTTCAAATTTCTTACAAAATACCTATATAATTGAACTGAAATTTTCAGATAAATTAAAATTTTATTATCTTATTCTTTTTTTATAAAAACAAAGAAAATGATATGCCTTTCATAAATTATAATTGTCCTTTGGCCCGGCCAGCATTTGCCACCTGATTTTACCAACATTCCTTCCCATTTTACCAGACTCCTTCGATTGAAGAGCTTCGATTGCGCAGAAAGATGCGCACAAAAAACTCCCGCAAACGTCTTTAACATACGGCAACCCAGATACCTGGGAACACGATGATGCTGATCGCGTCCAATCATTTCTGGTCGAAGAAGACACTGCTTTGAAACGTGTTTTTGACGAAAATAACTCAAATGCGAATGATATTTTGAATGTTCTTAGCTTGATAAAATCTACTGATCGCTCCTCTGAAATAGAAGTGAAGCAAGATGATATCACATGGCAAACTTTAGAAGATGAGTATGTAGCCACTATGCCGTTAAGGGGCATAGGCACAGTGCAGTGGACAAAAAGCACACGAATTGGAGAAGACAAAAAAGAAGAAAATTATTTAAAAGCAAGCGAACATGCAGAAATTATATCAACACTTTTGGATAACGAAGAATTGATTGACTTAAAAAGAGAAGAGAACATTTTCACAGATTTAACATCTCCACAAGAATTTGTTTTTAAAAAAGAGAAAGATAAAACAGGATCTACAATAATTCGTGTAAAACAAGGTAATTCTCCATTCTATCCACTGTTGAAGACCTCGGTAGGAATACTAGAAGCTAAACAGGTTTCTCTACTTCTTGCACACAAACACATCCAAACTCTTTGCTTAGAGGAGCCAGACAGGGGAATGCATCCACAGATGATTGAGCGTTTAAAAAGAGTCTTATATGAAGAAGGTTTTCACAAAACTATAATTGTTGCGTCACATAGTCCATATTTTATTGATACCTTATCCGTAAGAAACACATATTTTCTTCCGAAAAAAATCAGAGGAAAACGAAAACCAGTACGTTTGTGGCGTGAAAAGGTTACCAATTAATAGCGAACTTTCCAAAGTTCACGCCATTGAAACATTTAGGACCCTTTTGTTTGGAACGAAAATTTTATTGGTCGAAGGCCCAACTGACCGAGAAATTGTGCAAATTCTCTTTGACAAGTTACGCCAAAAGAACGACAGTCCAACGGTTTCAAGAGAAATTCTGGAAATAACAAGTTATCAAATTATCCCTGTTCATGGGTGTGAAAACGCCGCAAAATTTCGGAACTTTTGTCAATCAATTAATCTTCTTTGTGTAGCATTACTGGATCGTGATAAGCATGTGGAAATAAATGGAAATACTGTGGAAAAATTTAAAGGTATTGCTGACTTGGAAAGTGTTGGTGCCAAAAAAAGAGAAGAATATAAAAATAACGAGAAATTTAAAAAAAGCGAGGAATTCAAAAGAAGGTTTGTGGGAGAAGACGTGTCTTGTTTTCTCGAAAGTGGATTTGATGACTTTTCAGAATATTTAAAGAGTTATTATAATACATTCATTTGGAAATTTGGCGATTTAGAAGAAACACTACGGAGTTCAGAACCAATGAAAAGCTACATCAGTGATAAACTTCTTAAAGGTAGAAGTAACGATTCACTAAAGAAAAAAATAAAAGGGGAGCTTGATCGAAAAGAAGTTGATGACTTTAGCAAATTCCTTATAGAAATCCCTGAAATGAAAAGATTTGTTAGTTATTTGAAAAATAATTAGACAAATGTAATCAACAAATCTTGAAGTGTATGATTTGTTTTAATTTAGATTCTACAACAGTTACTATCTAATGTATATATTAGAATATTCCTAATTTTTATATATATGTCATGTTGAAATTTGGGGTGTTGACAATAATACCTGTAAAATATGACCAAGTCGTTGAAATAAAATGTACATCTTTTATTTTCGAAGTGTCCAGCAAAAGTGACGCGCTGGGCTTCGACTCAAAAAAATCACTTTGTCAAGGTAAGGCACATACAGGGTAAAATGTAAACATATCAAAGGCGAACACAATTATTTACCTGTCGGGGGCCTCGCACCCGAAAGATAGAAAAATACCAATCTTAATAAAGAACTCTTAATCCGATGGACTGACACTAATTGAGTGAAGTAGACTTCAAAAGATATTCTTAATCAAATTGCGTGGCTTTGCGTAAATGTTATTTGTCAGTAAATAAATCAGAATTTCACATCGCCAGAAAATGTGTGAATATGTACAAAACTTCTTAACTTATGGCTTTAAGCTAGTCAAAATGTTACTTATTTTTCGAAGATAAAAGCATGTTGAAAATGACACATGTTCTTAAAAATCTCGAATGAAATTAATTATTTTATGAAATAAAATGTATGAATTAATTTATTAAAGTCAAAACTCAATTTATTATAAAATACATCAGAGGGTCAATTTGACCTGATGATAAATCCCTCCTGGTTCAAAAATCTTTGTCCCCAAAGATACAAAAATGTTAAAAATTGGTGAAAAACTTCAAAAAGAAAAAAAAAATCTAAGGAATATAACTACTGAAGCTATGCGACTAAAAAAATCTACTGAGTATTGCATAAGAAAAACATTATGCATGAAAAATCACAAAATATCAGAACAAAATTCAATGCATTTCATTGTACAAAGGCAAAAAATTATGTACACAGTATATATACCAGAAAAATGTATGGTATAAAGCTCAAAATTGTCACACAGTAATTGTAAATTGTTTCAAGGTGACAATAAAAATCATGAAAAAGTACATAAGTATAAACAAAATCAATAATGCTTTCACACACTTTTCATACAAGGCAAGCTTGGTATCCCAGATTAATCAAGGTAAAATTTTACTGGAGAAGCCTAAAATACTGATGATGGGACAACAAGAAATAAGCTGTATAGGGTTGTTTTAACAAATTGCGAAGTCTGTAAGCCTTGAGTGGTGTAATGCATATGTTTGTTGGTATGTTGATTCGTTTCTTTGTGTGTATGTTTTCAATAATGAAATCTGGTGCTTCAATAGAAAGGTTTGCCCAAATTAGGTATGTTCTTTGAATGACAATGTTGTGTATGTCTTGTGGAGGCTGAATGTTCCAGTTATCAGGACAAAGCGGGAGTGTTAAAAGTGGGATAAGCATGCAGTGAGGTCCATTAGTGATTTCCATGTGAATTGTAGTTTTGTGTGTTCTTTTGAATTTGCGCCATAGCTTATGTGCATAGAAGCAAATAAGTTATGTGGTGAAAACCGAGAGTGTTATGTATGGCCATGGTGTTTGGAATGAGGTGTAAATATGTTGAAGTATAGGTGTTGGTTCAGTGTCGGGTTCATTAGTATAGTAAGATAGGAGGTTAGGGTGTGGAGTTGGAAAGGCTTTAGTGGGGTTTGGAATGTGAGTTACAGCAAGGATGGTTGTTAGTTTTCTAATTTTGAAAAATGACCATATGCAGTAAATCATGCAAAGTGCAGTTAATGCAAAAGCAACAATAGCAATAGTACCACTAGTGTCGGGAAAAGAGTCAACAGCAAAGTCAATTTGACCATCTATCATAGATTCTGCCAAAGATTGGAACACAATTTCATCTTTCTTAGCCAAATTTGCCATTTTCTTGAGACTTAAATGATGTTTACGATCTGCAGCCAGAAATTGAGAAAATGAATGGTTAAAAATTTTGAATTTTGGAACTTTTAGGTCTAAATATTGTTAAAAAGTTGTGTCTCCAAATATGGTAGAATGAAATTCAGGGTCAAAGAATTCTTGGATAAGTGCAAGGTTAACAGGGTGCAATACTGTTATTGAGTCAGAGTTGTTATTACATTGACCAATCCTTGGGGGTAAAAAGAGGTCTCCTGAAGTAACCGAACACAGACATGGCAACTGCATGACACAAAATGGACAACCTTTGATTATCCGTTGACCAGATTTGCAATCAAGAGCAATCATTGAAGTTTGATAGAAAAGAGTGTTAGAAGGAGATAACTCAATAATTGAATGCCTAATTTTGTTTTGAAAGAACCGAAAGTCACACAAATCATGTACAAAAGATTTTTGGTTGTAGAATAAAGCTGACATACAGGTTGGTGATGCAGAAGAGGTAAGTGCAATGTGAAAAGGACAAAATTTGATTGATGTACCAATGCAATTAGAAATTTGGTCAGATGTAACAGTTGTGAAGTGTTGATTGTCATGTGTGTGTGCAAAGTATGTGGGAACATCTGCAAGCTGTGTTGCGTGTGAAGTTGACGAGTTGATGGGTACAGGAAATGAATAGACTGTGTACAACAAAAGTGGTTGTTTGAAGGGTGAGATGGGAATTTTCAAGGTCAAAAACAATGTTGAGTGTGTCCTTGCATACAAAAAGTCACCATATGAAAAATAATACAAAGGATTTTTATGAATAATATGAAATTGGGGGTATTTCTGGTCAATAATACCTTGAACTTGGTTGAGTGAAGATTTAATAACATGAGGTGTTATCAAAAATGGGGACAATTTTCCTTTAATCAACTCATGAATGCTAATTTTGAGGTGTTCTAGGGCAAGGTTTAAGGTGGCTGAGGCATTAGTTTGCTTCAAGATCAACTGTTCTAATAAAACAAACTCACGTTCAACTGAATCAACTGTGCGATGAAGTAGGTCAGTTAGAGCTAAAGAATCATTATGATTTTTCTCAATTGCATTCATAACATTATTGAATCGTTCATCAACCGTGGAAATGAATGAAGACAAGTGTTTTTCCTGAACAGCCATTGCTTTAGCGATTTTGACGTTGTTGCGATTAAGGACTTGCATATGACGCTGTAAAGTGGCAATGTCATCAGATGTAGCAGTGCCAAAGAGTGACTTAGAGATTTGTCCAACAAAATCAAACAGACCACGCTTGGATCGAGATGAGCCAACAAAAGGTTGTGGACGTTGAATACGGCTCTGTGGGAGTAGAGTGTGAATCCCGTGAACCGTCGAGTTAACACTTGCCATGGTTTGGGTCCGCAATGTGTTTAGGGTTTTGATGATGTATTTTCCATACTTGCACTGTGGGGCGTTGTTACAGTAGAGCTCTCGGTGTAAGTACACTTTCTTGGGAAGAGGTATTTCGAAGGTATGTGACCAATACTCCTGTCCTAGATAGAGCTGCTGATGTTGTTCAAACAGAACACCATAATTTAACCGCTGTATAATGGTCGCATTACTGGTAGACACAAGGCCAAGAAGGGAAACAAGACATATGATGAGGAAATTGGTCGGAAGTCCTGGGGTACCTAAGGAAGGAAGTGAGAAAGATCAGGGCAATGGTCATGAATACACTGTTAATATCAAATAAAGCCAAAATAACAATAAACAACATTTGAGCAATATGTGAAAACATTAACAATGAACATAACGAGTGGCTCAGGGAGCAATGATAGAAATAAGAATGTAGGAAAGAGTAGGTACAGAGTAAGAATTAGACCATATCATTTATCTACTTGAAGCAAGTCAGTTTTGTTTTCTTCTTGCGGGCTGAGCCGGTTTGTGTTTTGGTAATGTGAAACTCGCGAACCAAAGAAGGAGGAAGAGTTTCCTCAGGTTCCCATGTGCGTTCGCTGTATCCTAGCCATTTGACTCGGAAATGTTTCTTGCCGTTGACAAACTTGTAGCGTAGTAGTTTTTCAACATAGTAAGTCTTATTGGAGACGTCCTCTGTGGCTTGTTGAGAGGGGTCCGACGAGTTCTGAGGTGGGGCTGATGACAAATCCAAAGTTGGATTGGCGTTTGACTGAGAGTGAGACAAAGTTGGCTCAGGTTGATTAGGATCTTGTACATCAGGATCATCGTCTGGAGGTAGATGAGTGTCGTCAATGGGTTCATCTGGATTCGGTGGGTCTAAGCTAGGACGATGATCTGGAATGTTGTACGATTTCAATCTGTTCACATGAATGAAGGACTTCAGTTCCTTATTGTTTGAGAATCTCCGTAATTTATACGTGTTGTTTGGTCCAATTCTTGTCACATAGAACGGACCATCCCATGGATTGTGTAACTTTGGTGACAATCCTTGTGGAACTTTTGTAGAGTGAAGTAACACAAATTGTCCTACACGGAATTCTTGTAATTTGGACTTCTTGTCATATTGCTGTTTTTGTTTGTCTTGAGCTTTCTTGATGTTCTTTTTGGCGATGTTTCTTACAATCTGAAGATGTGACATGAGATCATTCATATGAGTTTTCGCATCTTTACATAGGCCTTGTTTAGGTATCAAAGAAGTGTCGAATGGTAAGTTCATTTCTTTTCCAAATACAAGATGGTATGGTGATAAGTCTGATGCTTGAGTTGATGGGCTCATTCGTAAAGCCATCATAACGCCAGGTAGAAGTTTGTTCCAGTTTGATTGGTCTGGGTTGATGCAGGTACGCAAGCACTGGGCAATAGTACTATTCATCCTCTCACATGTTGAATTTGTTTGTGGATGGTAGGCACTGGTGAAATGTCTTGTTACTTGAAAAATTTCACATACAGCTGTTACGAGTTTGCTTAGGAAGTTTTGACCTCTATCACTGACGATATGACACGGAGTGCTCCATATCTAGAGAAGATTTCCACAAAAAGTATATCAGCTATTTCTTTAAATTCTTGGATTTTCAGTGGAAATGCTTCTGGATATTTATTGAAGGAATCTACAATCAGCAGTATATACTTGTTTCCTTCTTTGGTAGTAGGTAGCGGTCCTAAGATGTCCATATGCAAAAAGTGTCCTCTACTGGCATATTTACAAGAGGAGCTCTAGGATGGTTTGTTTGTTTCTTGGCGTGTTGACATGCGTCACAGGAGCGGATATAGTCAGCAACTTTCTGATACATCTTTGGCCAGTAGTACTTCAGTTGAATTGCCCTATATGTTCTGTCCAGACCAAGATGTGCACCACCAGCAAGACTGTAATGGTAGGAACATAACACATCTTCTCGTAGACAACGTGGTACTGCTAACTGTTTAAGAATTGGTTGGCACTGGTCAATTTTCTTTGATCTGGGTTGGTAAAAATGATAGAGGGTGTCGTCTAAGAAGATGTATTTGTTGCTTTCTGAAATGAGTTTGTCGCGCTCTTGCTTTAAAGATGACACAGTTCTATTTGTGAAGTAGGAATGTAGAGGTCTAAAATCTGGGCACTGACTTTGAAGATGACGAATTTCATAAGGTTTGTCGACAAGACATACTGTGGGTTGAGCAACCTGTGATACTGACTGTAAAGGTACTTGACTGTCTTCATGTTTGTAGAAGAAGGTAACCTGATTATGTTCCTCTGACGTTGATAATGTGGAGACTGTGTTGGTGCTGGGTATGGCATCTTCTGGTTCTAAAGAAGCTTGAAATTGCTGTGGGTATGTTCTCCTAGACAGAGCATCTGCTACACCATTTTTCTTGCCTTTCTTGTGTATCACGTTGAAGTTGTATCCCTGCAGAAGGATGGACCATCGAGCTAGTCGACCTGTATCGTGCTTGACGGTTTGTAGCCATTTCAGAGCTGAATGGTCTGTATACACAGTGAATGGTTTTCCAGCGAGGTAAACATGGTACTTCTTAATACCTTCAATAATGGCTAAACACTCTCGTTCTGATATAGTGTAGTTCCTCTCATGTTTGTTGAGGGATCGTCCACCAAATGCTAAGACACGCTCCTTTCCATTGTCGTCTAGCTGTCCTAAGATAAATCCTAGTGCTGTACCAGATGCATCGGTAGTAAGAATAAATGGTTTGGAGTTGTCTGGATATGCAAGGACTGGTGGTGATGTGAGGGCTGTCTTCAGTTGATCGAAAGCCATTTGACATTCATCACACCATTTGAATTTGTTGTCTTTTCTAAGGAGAGGTGTTAATGGTCCTATGATGGTACTGTAGTCATGAATGAATTTTCGGTAGTAGTTACATAGGCCAAGAAAAGATCTGACATCTTTAGTACATTTTGGTATTGGAAATGATCTAACAGCATCTGTTTTAGAGACGTCAACTTGAACTCCATGTTTGGTGATGACATGACCAAGGTATTGAACTTGTTTTTGAGCAAATGAGCATTTGGATGGTTTTAAAGTAAGATCTGCAGAACTAAGGCGAGAAAAGATTTGGTCCAAATGTTGCATGTATTGCTCAAAGGAGCCAGAGAAAACCTGAATATCATCCACATAGACAAGACAAGTTTTCCAACTGAGACCCCTAAGAACTTGGGTCATAAGAGCCTGAAAGCTAGCCGGGGCATTGACAAGTCCAAAGGGCATAGGTTTCCACTGATACACTCCAGTAGGAGTAACGAATGCAGATTTGTGGGCTGTTTCAGGGTCCATAGGTATTTGCCAGAAGCTAAGTCTAAAGTGGAGAAGATTTGAGCCTTAGAAATGCCAATAGTGTCAAAAACATCTTCTAACCGAGGTAGAGGAAATGTGTATTGTTTAGTGACAGCGTTCAGTTTTCCATAGTCAACTGCAAAACGGAGTTGGCCATTTTTCTTTTTCACCATGACTAAAGGGCTTTGCCACATAGATGTTGACTCTTCAATGATATTGGCCTGTAACATTTCTTCTAGTTGTTTGTTCATCTCTGCGTTTACTTCTGGGGACTGTTCGTAAAATTGTTGACGCACAGGGTAAGCTTCACCAGTTTCTATACGATGAGATTGTAGAGCACAATTGCCTAATTCTGATAATTCTGTAGCAAAAACAGATCTGTGTTTGTGTAGAAAAGCAAGAAAGATGTGTTTTTGTGTGAGAGTTAGATCAGAGTCAGATAGATCAAAATCAATAGGACTCACTGAGGATGGTTTGTCAGAGTGTATATCAGATGACGTAGAGTTGTCTAGAGATAGAACAGTATCAGGGTTGACTAATGATGCAGAAGCAATGCATGTACTTGCAGACAGAGTTACCGGGTTGTTTGTAGGATTGATAACTTGCACAAAGTGAACATCATTGTTAAGGGTATCAACCAAGCATTTGGCTCCTGCCAAACCTAATTCAGGGAGATGTTGTGATGGTTCCAATAAGACATGCGTACCATTCAATGAAGTTGAAATGAAGACTTCAATTGCCATGACAGAAGCAGGATTGACAGTGACTGACCTAGAAACTCTAGCAAGGCCTGAATTAATGTCAATTGCAAAGACTTGATTGGAAACAGGGTCCCTAAGAGAAAGGGTATTTTGTGCAACACTAAGAACAGCATCATTTTCTCTGAGAAAATCTAAACCCAAAATAAGAGGTTGATGAAATTTTTCAAATATTTGGAAATCCTGTTTGAACACAAAGCCATCAAAAGAAACTGGTAAGGACACAACACCAAGACTACAGTGAACTTCGCCACCTGCGGCGACAGCATCAGTTGCATTTGCTGATCGGATTGTGCTCTTGTCTATATGTAACCTAGAAACAAGGGATGCTGATATGCAAGAAATAGATGCACCTGTATCAACCAATGCACGTATGGGGGTGCCATAAATATCTACACTAACACTATTTTTCATGATAGGCATAATCAAGTTAACAGAGCTGTGTGTTTTCTTACCCCTATTTGATTTGGTCTTGTTAGCAGAGGTTGATGGGGAGATTGAGGTTTTGGGCTTGTTAGTTTGACAGCGAATGTTAGTTGATTCATGCCTAGAATGAGCTGTTAGTGAGGATGCACTGTTACTGTTAGTTTGGTGCCTATCCTTAACAAGGATAGGCGCGTTTCCCTAGCATGTTTGATTGTTTGTTGGGTTTTGTGGGTGAGTGGTGCCAGAGAAGTGTGGTCTTGTTTTTGGTGACTGACAGACAGACGCAAAGTGACGCATTTTACCACAATTAAAACATTGTACATTATAAGCAGGACAATTAAATCTGGGATAGCAAGACTTACCGCATCCCTTGCATCCTCTACCCATTCTTTGACCATTCTGTCTCATTGGTGCTGTCTGCATCTGCTGCATTGGTGGATGCTGATGGAAATTTTGAGGCGGCACAGCATAAGTGGGATTGGTCCACGCATCGTTAGGCACAGAGGGCACAAAGTTCACAGTGGGCTGAAATTGCGGATTAGCTTGAACTTGTTGAAATTGTCCAAATGTTTGTTTTTTGTTTTTCCATCCACTTTTCTTTTGTGTCTGTGGGATGTTTGGTACCAAGGCATTGATTTCTTCCTTGAGTGACTCTTTCAACTGAGCGGCGAGGGCGATTAGATTCAGACTGTTGTCATTTTCTGTCCTGCACTCAATCTGTGCATTTGCCAGGGAAACTGCATAACGCAACTGTTGGAAAGTCTTTGGTTCTTTTGAAAGAACCTTTTCTTTAATTTGTTTCTCGAGTCCCTGAAAAACAAACTTAACTTTATATATCTCAGGCAGGTCGTGTCCTAAGGCCGTTTTCTCTGCTCTTGAGAGATAGGTGTCTGTAGATTCTCCATGTTGTTGTTTAATGGAGAGTAAGGAAAAATTTGTCTCCTGAGGTGCAAATCTGCTTTTCAGGCAGTCCTTAAAGTCTTTAAGGTTGGTTCGTTGTTGGGTCGTCAGTGTTTGTAGCCAGGTCTCTGCTTGACCTTCAAGGCTGCACCCAATGGCTAATAGTGCTTCATTGTCTGTCACCTTGTGAAATTTTTGCCAGCTGTCTAAATTTGACAGCCACACATGAACATTTTCACTTCCACTGAATTTCTTAAGCTTTAAATTAATTCCTGTGGCCATTTTGTTCTGGATATTATTTACACTTTCACTTAAATTTGTAGTATTGTCTGTGATGTTTTCAGTGTCACTTTCGGTGTGAACGTGGCTAGTGTTTTGAGTTGAGCTTTCACTGAGTCCAGTGTTTGATGCTGTGGCTTCAGTAGCAGCACTGTCCGTTGTTTCTTCTATTGTTTCTATATCGCTGGTTTTGTTAGATTCTGTATTTATACTTTGGTTGACCAGTTGTTCGGCGCTGCTCATTGGATAATTGGTTTCTTGACCAGTGCTGGGTGGTTCGGGATTAGATACACTGTTTTCCGAAGGAGTTTGGTCTTTGGTTTGTCTGTCTCGCAGGTAGTACATATCATTTACTGGTCTGCTCTTCATTAGGAACTTTGGGAATTCATCCACCAACTTGTCATGTTGAATTTTGGGGTGTTGATGATAATACCTGTAAAATATGACCAAGTCGTTGAAATAAAATATACGTCTTTTATTTTCGAAGTGTCCAGCAAAAGTGACGCGCTGGGCTTCGATTCAAAATATCACTTGGTCAAAGTTAGGCACATACAGGGTAAAATGTAAAAGATATTCTTAATCAAATTGCGTGGCTTTGCGTAAATGTTATTTGTCAGTAAATAAATCAGAATTTCACATCGCCAGAAAATGTGTGAATATGTACAATTACAAAACTTTTTAACTTTATGGCTTTAAGCTAGTCAAAGTGTTACTTGTTTTTCTAAGATAAAAGAATGCTGAAAATGACACATGTTCTTAAAAATCTTGAATGAAATTAATTATTTTATGAAATAAAATGTATGAATTTATTTATAAAAGTCAAAACTCAATTTATTATAAAATATATCAGAGGGTCAATTTGACCTGATGATAAATATTATCACCGAGCAAATTAACATTTTTTAAATATAATAACTTTTAAATATTTTATACATAATGTGGACTTTTATCAGTGAAATTCTTTATCTATTTTTACTGTGCTAATATTGAATTATGTTTTATTTTCTCTTTCCCTTTGAAGCCGGATTAAGACAGTCTAATTGACACTCGGTGACTCTGCCAAAAGAATTTATTCATTAGGTGTTAATGCCTCGGGATTCGTTAATCCTGTATCAATAACTTTATTTGTACCTGTATCAATAACTTTATTTGTACCTGTATCAATAACTTTATTT